TAGGGCAGATGGTGGGAGGTGATAAAAGTAAATGGCTGGATAATTAAAGTGGTTTGGTCAGGAACAGTTACAGTTGGAATTAAAGTGCAAGGGAGTGGTTTCAGCGCAGACACCTAAATAAAAGTGGTTATATTATGATTCCGTTTTTTCGTTGTTTTTGGTTGATATCCTTCCAGCAAACGTTTACATGAACACAAGATGGAACTTACAAAATAATAAACTAAGTGTCATTCATAGGACCCCTCAAATTACATTTTTACAACTTCAAAGCATGCAATACTACAAGATAAACCGATTGGAAGACCAGGATGTATAATGAATATGCCTGTGAATGTGAGACCAACAAGCAACCATTGTTTCAACTCAGTCAGGCAAACATACACAGATGAATGACTTAGGCCAAACAGCACACCCCCCTTCCCTCGCCCCCTCCGGCTAAATGACTGACCGACCACAGGCATTAACAGACCACATGGAGCACTCTTTCTTCGAACTCATGTGACTCGTGGCTCTACTCACGGTCCTGATGATCTGTGTCGTATTTGTGTTGAGGAAGTCTTGTGCTGCTTCCACGTTGCTCAGCACCTCCCCCACTGTTCTCTGGAAGAGAAGGAAAAAGGAGAGAAATAAGCCACAGAATGACAGAATGAGAGGAGAGTGATCTTTATTCTTGGCATTAGTGTTAGTAGTAGTAGTTAGTTCCAGGTGCTAGTCAGTGTACTCACATTGATTTTGTCTCTGAAGGTTTCAAGGCTCTTGATGCTCGAGTTGAGGTTTTTCTGAGAGCAAAAGCAGTAGATGTTTAATGGAGAGCCAGAATGAGGGGATCAGGAGACATGGCAGCTGAGAAAGGGCGATCTACTCACCAGCTGTGGGGTGATGGTTGTTTCTATCTCGGACTGGATCCGCCTAAGGTCCCTGGCCTCATCTTGGAGCTCTTTTTTAGTATTGCTGTTTGTCTAGAAACAAGAAATAGGTTGGGTAGTAGATAAAACATGGGCATAAAAAAGAATGTACCCAGTTAAGAATCATGTGACATGTTTGTAGTGCAGAAAAGCAGAGTGAAGTGTAAAATATTAACAGGGGATAATATGTTAATGTCTCGTGACTCACTGGAACATCAGCGAGGGCGTCAAGTTTATCTGCTGTTGTATTCAGATTGATCCTGGAAAGGTTGTTCATCTGAGAGAGACAAGCAAGGAACACTGAGTCAAGGATACATGTAATGACAGTAAATCTGCACAAAGAGGCATACAAGTCCATGAATAATGCCCACCTGCTGTGTGATAGCAGTGGAGTTAAAATTTTGAGCCTTGATGGAGAGATTGCGGATTCGTTTTTCAACTTCAGGGCTCAGAAGAGTTAGTGTGGGCAGAGTGATGTCTGTATCCTCAAAGTACTGCTGGATCTGCTCTGTGTACTGCATGTGACCAGCAGAGAGAAGAAAACAATCATTACAAATGGTGATATAGGTCTGGTTAGATAAAAGTAAAGAATTTAAACATATGCACATAAAGTTAGTGTAGGTTCGACTGTAAGAAAACTCACTTTAGACACGTTGAGCAGGCCTCCGAGGTCTATGACCTCGTACAAGCGGAGTGTTGTCCACAGAGGCTTGTTTTCCGCACAGTCTCTGTAAACGTTAACAGAAACATAATCAATGTCAAGTGGGTTTTCACAACTTTTCTTTGGTATTTTGATGCGTAACAATAAACATAGTAGGAGAAAAGGGAAAAAAGTACTGCAAACGTCAAGAAACACAAATAAAATAGCAATTTAATAAAAATATGTAAAATATATCTTTTGGAAATGGAAAGTGGCGTACAGTATGTTTAAAAGCAAAGAGGATGGGATGTGCATAAAACATTGACGGCATAGGAATGTACAAATGTTATTCTCAGTATTAAAGTGCTTTATGAATCCTACTAACTTTAGAGCCAAAAAGAAAAAAGGGAGAAGAAACAATGCAAAACCTAAAAACTAAACTAAACTATATGGAGCCTGTGAATATGCATGTTGTTCCTGTGTGAGAGGTGAACTGGCATCAGATACCTATAGATATCAGAGATATTGATGTTGGTTTTCAATCCCAAAGCTGAATTTATATCGAACCCTGGAATTAAACCTGGAGTATCAATTAACTGTGGAAAGAAGACAAAATAATATTAACTCAAATACACTGAACGCTGCATCTGTAATGTATTTGTATTGCTGATGCATGGAAATATAGCAGTGTGCAGGTGTATGGTTTTGTATTTCTACCTTCAGCAGTTCTCCGTTGCTCCAGGGCCGACAGACCAGAGTGTAAACATTCCCACCCAGCAGGAAGAGCACAGTCACCACTATCATGAACAGCCAGGAGAAGAGGAAGCTGAAACCTGCACCCCTGCAACCACATCCAGATCAGATGTCAAACAACGAGCTCAGGGGCTGAAACAGTTTGATCTGATATGTGACTTAAAAATGAAACCGATATTATAACCTAGTACTCACATCATGAGGAAGGTGCCTCCACAATTTGCTGTGCAGGATCGCTTTGTGGGGTCTGCACCGGAAGTCAGACCCACAGGGCCCAGGACCAGACCCAGGAGGTTACACACCACCACCAAGAGGACCACACAGCACAGGGCCAGACCCACTCCCCATCTGAAGTATACACACACAGGAACTGATTTTTGGCTTTTCCTTGCATTGATCACGTGTTTCCACATCTAGGCTTTTTACCTAATATGCTCGGCTCTCTCGAACTCTGGTGTGAACTTGACGATTTCTCCATGCAACTGGTCCAGACTCGTAGACACGTTGGTCAAAGCCGATATAGGGATGTCACTGGTAATCTGGGAGACCTGTGCTTTTATTTCATCCAACAGCAGCTTGCTGCCTAAACACACACACATACACAAATGTACACCAACACACATATCTTTTACTAACTGATCTTATACGTTTATTACAAAAGTAATATTTGAAAGAGGAGTGAAGCCCAAAGTTTGTGACAGTAAATGCGCTCACTTACTTTCAACTACATCCATGGTGTCATTGGTCACCTTCTGGGGGATGCTGTTGAAATAGTCCTCCACCTAAAGCGAAGACAGCATTTATTAGAATTGTGTCTTTCTGTCAAGCGTTCGCCTATGAAAAAGTAGCTTTGTTGCAGTCAGCTCTGTTTACACACATTAAGTTCGCCTCAAAGAGTGTAAATAAACAACAGCCCTAATAGAGTACAAAACCATGGTTTGCTTTTGCGTACATTATCTTTGGTTAAAACAAGGCTGGCATTATATAATCAAGACTGGTGTTATTACCTCCTTGATTTTGGCTTTAAAGTTAGTTTTCTTGACTTCATCCAGCGCAGACTGGAACTCATTTAAGCTGGGAATCTGTGGAGAACAACCAGAGACACACACGTGCAACCATTGTGACCAGCAATCACATGTAATCATATGTTGTACTTTAAACTAACAGAAGAGGGCAGCAGACTTCAGCAAAACTGCTAGTTTTCATTGACGTTATCAAAGAGCCACAAACAAATTAGTCCATACCAAATAATAAAGAATGGCATCTCTGCTTTTTGTCAATGTGATATTCTTGCTGTCATGATGAAGATTATATATTATACAGTACACTCACTTAAATAGTGATGAGGAGAAAAAAGAAAGATGAGAGAAAAGGGGAGAAGATGAGTGGAGACAATAGGAAAGGAGAGGAGTGAAAAGGAGAGAAGAAGGGAGGAGAGGAGCGAGGATTCTGTATGTGTCAGTGCTAGACGAGTGTAGGAGGAATTGAGAAGAACAGATGGAAGGAGGACAAATCAGATGTTCAGACAAAGCCAAAAATGAAGAGCTATTATCATGTGTCACACTGTCTCAGCCTGCGTCAGAGGTGGTTTGATTGCTTAAATGGTTCTTCCTGTTGCTCCATGACAATGTCTTGTAACAGTCTGTACTTCAGCATAATCTGAGCAGTCAAACCTAACTCCTCTTTTGCCGACAAGAGTGGATGTTCAGACCAACCTTATTTAATTTGCCTTTGTTGTTTTAATTGATCCATTCTGGCACAAAACACAGCAGTATCTCATTATTTGTTAAGCAAAATCAGTACTTACAGAGATGGACGTATCCAGCATTAGGTTCTGCAATTCAGGTTTCAAGCGGTCACATCCAGTGCAGCTTGGCTTGGATAAAGTCTGATTGATGCGATTTTTAACAGCAGTGACATTGGCCTGGAGGCGGTTCATGCTGGACTGCAGCTGGGCCAAAGATGAGTTCAGGTTGTTCAGTTGAACCTGTGTGTTATCAGTCTCTGCTCATACCAATAAAAAACACACATATTAGTCAGCGTATGCACAAGTTTGAAAAATAACCAGCATTTTAAGACATTCCTCTATGACTTTTATCATTCAAAAGCATTTCAATAAGCTGAAAGGAACAGAAGTTCTAACAAAAAGTGAACACCGTAAGAGAAAGAACAACAGCACATTGATTATTAAGGGAGATACTGTCCAGATGCTTTTAGTAAAGCATTCAGAATATTTTCCACATTACTCAACCAAGCCTTTTCTGTGTGAGAGCAGTGTTAAGAAACATGTCGATAAATTGTGTATCAGCACTTCATTTGTCATCTTGGAAAAGACGAAATTACAGCAACAAAAAAAGAAACATCTCTATACTGGAAACTGAATTACAGAACCCCAAGAATGTTTTGATTTTCTTGAATTTATTATTTAACTGCCTGTTGCAAGGCTGCATAATTCAAAACCAGAAACTATTCTAGCTTGGCAATCAATTCCACTTAAATTGAAGAAAAGTTTGATTATTTATGGTATTTTTATCCATTATGTCTCCCTGATTTTAATGAGATCATAGATGTGGCTGTAATTTGTGGATGGATTCTGAGAAATGTGTCCCTGGGCCCCCCTTCTACCTAATAATAATAATCTAATTATTCCTGCACTGAAATAACTAATGAAAACAGTTTGTCACAAAAAAGCAACCTGTCAGTATATCAGCAACTTAATTTAAAACATAAGAAGTAAAATGCAGTGAAACTATAACAGTGCTTTTATGAGCAGGTACTCGCCTATGTCATACCTGATCTCCTGTCAAATATGTACACAAGCATTTACTTGCTTAAACTGAAACAGGACAGAACGTGCAGGTACACCATACCTTGGTCCAGAAGTCTAACTGAGTTCAACACCGTGTCCATTGTTCCTCTTAATTTCTCCTGGATCCCTGTTCCCACCTGAGGGCCAATGGCTGAAGACAAATAGGTGTGAGATGGTCCATCACATGACAAAAACTGACAAACAAAAGTGGTTCCCTCATTTTTACAGTGTTAGTTCCCTTTTCTTACCATCTAGGTTTCTGGTAACCTCCTGTATGGTCTTGGAGCTCTCACGCACCACATAGTGCAATTGCTGGAGATAAAACAAACTATAAGTGTGAACACAAGATATGAAATACAACACACAGTATGTCAAGGACTGACTCCATGAGCTAATCGGGTCGGGCAGCTTTTGCAAATGAAGAAGAACAAACACAACCCTGTCTTTCCCTCCAACCTTTTCCCGTTCTCTTATCTTAAGATAAGTGTATTGACACTGCAGAGTGCAGCGCTGGTCTTTAATCATTGGACCGACTGGTCAATTGTGGCTCTGTTTGTATCTCACACACAAAAGCTGTCGACTCACTGATGTCAGGGGTCCAAGACAACAAAGTTATTTATGTTTTTTTTTTACATCATAGATGACAAAGAATGGAGATCAAGAGAAATTAGTCAACCAGTTATCTTGACCTTTGTCCACACTCATACCATGAACTTTTAGAGATTTTCTCTCACCTGAGGCACAGCAGTGAGGAAGGTGTTGATGTTATATATTGTTTTGTTGAGTTCCACTGGAGTCTGGTCCACACTTCCTTTGAGGGCTTCATTACTTTTGAACATGCATATGTTCCCAGCACTACAAACACACACACACAAACACACAAACACAAACATATACACGAACACAATTCAATTTGTGTCTGTGAACATAAAATGAGTCCAAGGGAACATTCAAGCTGACTTTTTTCTATGCTAATTTCAGATAACACATCATTATGCTGTTCAAAAATGCACATGACAACACACAAACACACACACACACACACATAAACCACACACTCACAGGATAATGACTGTGGTGATGAATGCACTCCAGTAGAGAGCTCTTCGGCGACAGTGAATGGAGGACGTCTGCTTCTGGTACATCTTCCCACCACAGTTGCCACAGCAGCGACAGCACGCCAGGAGGAAACCAACTATGGGCATCAGAACCATGTACAGAATGCCAATGGCGGCACACACCAGGAAACCCACTTGATACACCAGGGCCTGAGCATAACAGACAGACAGACGATATGAATTACAACTAAAATGACACCAATATCAATTTCAAGGCCAAGATGGCAGAACAGAGGTAACCCTTTGTGGTCTGTCGTGACATCAAACTGTGAGACACCGTCAAACAGTAGTTTTACTTTACTGTGGTGACAGTCCACAATCAGTGGATGAAAGAGTCTGAGTGACGTCAGTCGACTGGGCTGCTTTAGGGTGTGTCTGTTTTTTTTCCCCCATACAATTAATACAAGTTAAAGAAGAGAATTTGTTAGAATATGTGAAACATATATTAAATTGTGTACATTTACTTACTTCTCTGGTGAATTCTTCTGTATTTGACTGGTCAATTTCCTGGGCTATTTTCAGGATCAGATCTAGAAAGGAATGGAAAATTACTTCAAAGGACACAGACAGTCCAAGGATAGCTAATTCTATTTTATTCCACGCTGCCGCTCTCTGTTAACCTTCTACAAAAGCCTGGCCACAGGGACAACGTGTCCTGTGCTCCGTATAGACATTTTAATCTCTCTCATTGTAAAAGTGGAAATCTAACACCTCCATCTTGTGGTTACTAGGAAACCAGGACAGCTTTCAGGAGATTAAGTTTTCACACACCAAAAAAAAACCCAATAAAAACCTGCTGTTTATTGTCCCACAGGAACTTGTTATTGTGGATATTAACCTCAAAACACAGGCGCAGGTACAGTAACTCAGAAGGGGAAAGAAGTCCAGATGCTTTTTACATAAGCTATTTGAGTAGTTCTCACCATCTGTGTCACTGCAGTCTGTGTCATGGAAATTTGCAATTTACCTCATTGTTTTGCATGTCCCATTTTTTATATTTACTTTAAAATGCTTGATATGAATCTCTTGTTGGAGTCTCAGTGAGATGTAAACAAATGTTACATGAAACCGTGAGCAGCTGGAGTGCTTCTATTATACAAAGTTTCAATTATTCAGTGTCATTATGAAATACATTTTGGGTTGCCAGAGAATCTACATTTTAGTGAAGCATCTGTTTGGTTGGTGTATATCCTTTTTAGTGAAACGTTTTTTTAAATGAACTTACTAACATTTATAACTTACTACTTACTATAGAACTTACTAACTGCTTAACCTAAGCAGAAACCCACAGTTTACAATAAGCCACACATGAAGTCTTATGAAGTGCATGCTGGTCGAAGTTTACTCACAATATCAACATTGAATCCACCATGTCTAGCATGAAGATCATTTGAGTACAATGACTTTGAACAAAGGTTGTTTGTCATGTTTTGTGTCCATCTGTTTTCATTCTTGAAATCTATACC